GAGAGAGAGAGAGAGAGAGAGAGAGAGAGAGAGAGAGAGAGAGAGAGAGAGAGACCCCAAACTAACTACCCCGCCCCCCAAACCGACGATGGCGATGACGATCAAGTGTAGTATCTGTTGCGATCAGTTTGAGATCCGCGGGAGTTCTTTATTAAAAAAAAAATGGAAAAACAGTGCACGCATGTGCGCGTGCACCAGAGAGAGAGAGAGAGAGAGAGAGAGAGTAGTATCTGTTGCGATCCGTTTGAAAATCGGAGTGTGCACGAGCGCACGCACAAGAGGGGGAGAGAGAGAGAGAGAGACACCCCAAACTAACTACCCCGGCCCCCAAAACGACGACGACGATGACGATCAAGTGTAGTATCTGTTCCGATCAGTTTGATATCTGACCTGTAAACCATTGGGAGATCTTTAAAAACAAAAAAAAAAACAAAAAAAAAACAGAAAAACAGCATGCGTGCGCGTGCAGCAGAGCAACAGAGAGCGAGAGAGAGAGAGAGAGAGAGAGAGAGAGAGAGAGAGACCCCGAACTAACTACCCCGTCCCCCAAAACGACGACAACGATGACGATCAAGCGTCTGCCACTCTCCGCTCCTCTGCTGCACGACGGTGACGATGACGATCAAGTGTAGTATCTGTTGCGATCAGTTTGAAAAACGGTGCATGCACGTGCGCACGCACCAGAGAGAGAGAGACACACATCCCAAACTAACCATCCCGCCCCCCAAAACAATGACGACGATGACGATCAAGTGTAGTATCTGTTCCGATCAGTTTGATATCTGACTCGTGGACCATCGGGAGATCTTTATTTAAAAAAATAAAAATAAAAACGGAAAAACAGCGTGCAGCAGAGAGAGAGAGAGAGAGAGAGAGAGAGAGAGAGAGAGAGAGAGCCCAAACTAACTACCCGGCTCATCCCCCACGACTTCTCTGCTCCTGCCGCCCTCCTCCGCCCTCTTCCCCCGCTTCTTCACTCTCCCCGCTCCTCCGCCACACCTCCACAGCTCGGGAAAAAAGGGGCGTGCCTCCCCTCCGGTTTTTCTCTACGTGCCTGGCGCCAAGCTTGCCCAGGAAGGTACATGAGCCCAACGGGGATTGAACCCAAGACCTCATGAATGCCACTTGCGTGCCATACCAACCAAGGTACGCCGCTGGATTTCAGTCTAGAGTCTGGGGAAGACACTAGGGTTAGACATAGCATGCCGATTTCCAAAGCCAGCTGTTGCAGAACCTCCCCAACTAGCAGGAGGTGCTGCACACACATTGCCATAGCTGTTAGGGCACAACCCCCCACCGGAACATGAGTCTAAAAACACCCCCGACCACCACCCCAAAGCCCACCGAACCCACCACCCCGACTCATTTCTCCCATTCCCCCTCAATCCCTTGCGAGCGAAGCCGCAACAGGTACCCTTGTATTGTTTGAATAAGACGGGAGGAGAAAAGGAGGAGAGTGGTTGGCGAAGGAGGGAGTTATCATTGGTCTTTGCTGGTGTACAGTACATCTTCTTCTTCTTCTTTCTTTCGTCTTCTTCTTCTTCTTTCCGTCTCTCTCCTCTCAAGCTCATTCATTTATTTTTGCAATTGGACGCCATTGTACTTCTCATGAATGTTGTACTTCGAAATTGGCCAGGATCGTAACAATATGCAAAAATAAACTAGTTTGCGCCCCGCCTTTCTTCCAACTGCCTCACGCCGGCCTTCCCAGAGACCCTGGCATTTTACAGGCTCCGGCTTCACTCAGGGCTGGGTCAAATATTCACAGGCGGCCCTTTTGGGCGCTGCAGAGGCATGAAGCCTCACAAAGGTTCAGACCGCTCTGCAGAGCCCTCAATCTTGCCCGTGCTTTCCTGTAAGAGCCCTCTCATGATATAAGACCACTTGAGGTGCAGATTTGATTAGTTCTTCCCTTGTAAACCACCAATCTTCTTTAGGATCCAGACGCCCCTTTAAAGCCAATCTGAACTGCGTCTGTGGTTTGGGTGGTCTTCCTCCGCACCGTGGCTTCCACAGTGGCATCTCCCTGTGATCCACAATTCAATCAATGTCAACTTGTCAAATTGGAGTCCACCTATTTGCACTTTAGAATCACAAGTAACTCTTCAGGTCACTACATTTCAAATTATTTTCCCCGTCCACCTTCCTCTTGCCATTTCCAGTTGTCCATTCCATTTGGAGATGTCGTTTAGTCGTCTGTCCCCAATGAGTCTTTCTCCTCCTTTTCCCTTTCCTTCCCATCACCCTCCCAGTTTGTGCCCCGCTCTCTCACCTTTTTGTGGTTCTGTCTGTGCTTCTTGTTGGATGCATGAGACGTTTGTGGAGGGAAGTGTGTGAGAATGAAGCAATGCATCTTGGCCAGATTCCGATGATTTCCCCACCTCGGGGGCCCTTCCCATCGCCCCCCGGGTTTGTGTCCCGTTCACTCACCTTTTTGTGGTTCTGTGTGCTTCTTGGTGGATGCATGAGACGTTTGTGGAGGGAAGTGTGTGAGAATGAAGCAATGCATCTTGGCCAGATTCTGATTATTTCCCCACCTCGCCCCCCCCCGCCCCCACCCCCGTTCCACTTTGAGAAGGATCCATTTCTAAAACTCAGATTGTGATTGTAGGGGTCACAAGAAGCCAGGGTCTCCGCACCTTGATAACCTCCTGAGCAGCCTTCTGTCTGTCCTCCTCCCTCGTTCGCCTAATTTCTTCTTGCCTCTCAATCTCTTGCCGCCTCCTTTCAGATTCCTTGGCACAATCCACCTGCAAAGATGCCGCATACGCCTCATCCTGCGGTGAACAGAAAAGGTGAACAGAAAAAAGCCACGTTCAGGAGTCAGTCCATGATTATGCCCGACCAGGATAAGAGAATCCAAACCATCCACATCTGACAGAAATCATGTGGTCCACCGCACACACAAAAGAAAAGAAAACTTAGAAAAGAGTTTTACTCCCCGCTCTCCCCTTCCCCCCTCTCCTCAAATCTCGTTGAGTTGTGGTTGACCCACAGCCAATGCTTGTATCCGCTGAAATTCTGAACGCTTTTGAGAAACTCCAGATTTTTGAAAATATGAATATCCGCTAAACCCCAAAATCCATTAAAAAAAAAAAAAACGAAATGCATCAAGACATCTGGTGTCCAGACTGGACACAAGACTGTCGGTATGTGCCAAACAGATATCCGATTATAACCATGAATCAGTCTCATTCCCAAAAAGAGTGACAAAGTCAGACAAACTGCATTTTTCACAAAAAAGAGTAAGTCTGAAAAACGCTCCAAACTTACTTTGGCAAACCTGTTCTTTGCCCCAGCCTCTTTTGTTTTTTTTGGGATTGTCTGCAGTCAGGGGTATTTAGTCATTGCAGAAGAGACTGCAGGGCGAACCTGTTGTTCGCCAAATCCTGGACTCCATAAACCCCTGTGGTCGGGGGTTTCTTTGGAACCGCGGAAGTCACTGGGTATACTCAACCCTGATCGCAATTGGACAGCGGTCAGCAGCAGCGACAGTTTAGGCTGTGCCTGGCCACCGCTGGGCCAATCAGCAGCCCCATGGAAACCGGCACAGAGCCAGCAGCAGACACGTGATTTCATAAAGACGCTGCAGTTCAATGCCCTTCCCTTATTCTCAACCTCTTTGCCCCATCTCATGTATACCTGATCGGGGCAGTTGTGACATGATCATTGCAGTTGCGTCTGAGAAGTTTGGGTCCTCTGATGAAAGGATGACATTTCTGAGTCTGGCAGTCTGCTGTGTTATGGCTTGCCTGTGGCAAAAGTCTGTCCTCTCGAGTGTGCAGACAAGTTGATTGCTGTGCCATGGTACTAAGTGGTGTGTGGCCAGACATAAGGTAAAACTCCTGCAGTAGGTCAAGACGATTTTCTAGGCAGTTCATTAGGCCCTCTTCAGTAAGCTCAGAGCAAGGCCGCGATGACACACCACCAGATGTGGTGGCCTAGATTACTACCGTCTTCATCTGAATAGAACGGCCCATAATTATTGCCATCTCTGGACTGAAAGTTGTGCCAAATACAGCTATAACGACCCCACGTCCTACTCGAGTGAAGATGGTAGCGTTCACACCCCATCCTGGGGAGGGTAACCAGGCTGCAGGGTAGACAGCAGGTTTCCTGCCAAAAGCACTACCCCGTAGACCGTAGAAGTGGCCTAGCTCAGTTGGTACACCCCTGAACTGGTGAGACACAGACCTGCGTTCGAATTCCGCCCGAAGCAGATCGGTAAAATTCTGAATTACCTAGGGCTGATCAGTTGAATGATGATATCTCACGAAAGTCGTCGTTTTAAAACGACGATAAAAAGAAGTGGCCAGGTAGGTTTTGACAGGTCAACTATTGATCCAGTAGAACAACAGTAGAGGCAGCACTGGAGCCCGGGCCCCTTGTTGCCTGAACCAGCCCTCCTCAGCCGGTCTGCCAAGAGTGCAAGTAACGGAGAATGTCGTTAGTGGGCCGTGGGGCTATGGCTGAAGGCCATAGCAGTGGGGCTATGGCTGAAGGCCATCGTAGTGGAGCTATGGCTGAAGGCCATAATAGGGGACTTCAGAGAACAAGCAGCAGGAAGAGCGGAGGGGGGTTCCTGGAGCTATGGCAGACGCCGTTTCTTACCGTCCTTTTGCATGGCATGTGGCTGGCCACTAAGATCTTTACCCGGGCATACAGTGCTTAGTACTGTACCTATATTGGCACTCATGACAAATTGCAAAGCTTCTTAGCTAATCCTATCGAAAATAAAAAAATATGAAGAAAAACTGTGTTGTTCGACACAGTACTTTGAATTTTGGATTTTGTCGTTCCTTATTTAACTTTGATAATACATCATGAGGAGGAGGTTGTTGGCCCGGTTTTGGAATAATACTGCATCATTGATTCTTGTCGTTGAGCTTTTTGAAATAATACTGCACGAGCCCCCCTTGAACCACCCCTCTTTGACAAAGCATACTTCGACATCGTTTACGAGTGAGCGAGCGGCATAGCAGCGGGTGGCTTGGTGTGTTGAGCATTTGACCAAGCAAACTGTTTGTGTAGCAAATTGGTCCAGAGACATTGATGCACTCGACCACCACCTTCACCCGAATACAACATACACAGTCATTATAGCTGTATTTCGGGCAACTTCGAGTCTTCAATACATACGTTGTGTTCCGGTGAAGACGGTAGGCATTCGGTTGCTAACCTGCTCTCGACAAAGCCGCTGATGTTCCTCCCTCGCACATGCCACCAACATCTTCAAATCATCCTCAGGTGATCGGGGCTGCACCCTGTCCACTTCTTCTGACCCGCAGGGAACCTGGGCCTGCTTCCTCGCTGACACCTGATGTGCCTTGTTCCTTTTCTGCTAATGAATCAGCAGACCATGCCAGCCAGCAAGACGATTCGTCATCCGAAAGAGTTTTTGTTCTAGAAAAGGATGTCACAATCGTCCCACGCTGGTCTACAGAGGAAGTCAAGTTGAACACAGCATGAGTTTTGGTTACGTTTGATCAAAACCATACTTGCAACCGCACGAGCCGCACGGCAGTGCAGTGCGCTTGCCCGTGCGTCGCACCAGCAATGATTTCTGGTTGTTTTTTTTTGCTGTTTTTGTAGATGCAGAAGAGTGTACTACCAAACGAACAGAGCCTGCTAGAGTACAGCAGTGCAAATTTTTCTTTTTGCTCCATTGACCATCAGAAATGGCCTCAAATAGGTCTTTGGGACATCAGTCTTGAGCATTAGAGGGCGAGGTTACTCTCGCAACTTTTTTTTTTTTTCATGCTGCAACAAATTTCCGACGGGTGCAGGTGACCACTGATCCAGGCCTGCGACCCCTTCTTTTTCTGGGTGCCCATTTCCCCCATGCGCTCGTGCACCAAACGTGCACAATTGCCCGCACGGCGTGCGCTTGCATGTATGATCAGAACCCATAGATGATTTTTCTGTGACCCTGTCATGATCCATCCACATCCAAAATATCATACACAATCTTTACTACTGGTTGCTTGGGGTGTCGGACATATCACTTAAAATCAAGTTACGCGGTTGCACCTGTTGATTAATCGCCGTCATCATCCCAAAATGCTGCCATACTACTCGTGATGTCTAACCACTAACATTTGGTGTCCTTGACCGAAGCCATCTCTGTGCTATGGCGAATTCACAGGCATATCGCCGCCAGCATGCACCTGCCCGTGTACATGCCCAATGAGCAGGGTCTGTACTGTGACATGTATTCATTCGCATTCATTGCAGCACAGAGGGACACCCGCATCAACACAAGAACTCCAGCACAAGCTGTAGCTCAAACGGTGCTTGCCCTCGTTGATTCTTACAGAGGCAGTGGCACAAGTAAGCCGAAGTCCAGAGGCAAACATGCAATTAAACTTGCACATTGTCGAGCAATTCGTCGACACAACAGCCCCAATTCCTCGCAGATTGGGAGGAACCTGTACGCCTCAAAGATCTAACCAATCATAGTTCTTCTTCATTGCTACAGTTGCCGTCAGTCGTGAAGCTGCTAAAATGCAAACATCAGCAACACAATGGTCCCAACTCACCTGACTAAGCTACGCTCACGGCCGTACTTCCTAATCTCTTCATGGAGCTGGTGGGTCTTCGGGAGTACTCGCACTAAGGTAGATTTTTTTTATGGTTCGTTATTTCTTAGTCTGCAGTAGAACCTAAAAGACGAGAAAAGTGGGCTACCATCCTGGAAAACCACAGCCAAGGGAGCAGGCTTGGAAGAATCGGCCGGGAAAGCAGACCCTGTTGAGCTTGAGTCTAGTTCGACTCTGTGAAATGACCTGAGAGGTCCAGAATAAGCGGGAGCTTTACGGCACAAGTGAAATACGACTACTTTTAACGTTATTTTATATATTAAGAAGAAAAGAAAAAGATGCGAAAAGTCATCCTCCCGACAGGGTCTTCAGGCCCTTCTTCTCTCATGATATGGAGAATCATGTTTTGTTTTCATTTCATTGAGCTCATGTGCAAGCCTGCCACAAATGAAACACGGTTTTTCATTTCATCGAGTGCACGTGCAGCATGCCACAAATCTCCCCTCGCTTCAGCAAGTTCTTGCACTACCGTGGTCCTTGCAAACTTAACGGGACCTATCATTTAGCCTCTGGGAAGATCATTTTACGTAACATGACCGACATCAGTGCCACAAATTTATTTTCCCCTGCTTGCTTCAGCAGCTTGTTGCACAAATGCGCTCCTCGCCAACTCCACGGCACCTACCATGTAGCCTCTGGAGTGATCAGTACCATGACGGACATCAGTGATACACTGGTTAACTTCAACAGCCATTTCGTTAAAACGGACATTTTATATTCTTTGAACGAAATTGAACCCTGCTGATGTGGCCCAAAGAATGTCGCCATTTATCTCCTGAGTGTCCTTTTGGACTTTGCTGAAGTTCAGATACATCCAAGGGGGGCACTCAGGAGCTATAACGGTCACATTTTCAGGGCCAAATGAGGTAGGTTTCAATTTCGTTCAAAAAGTATAAAATGTTTGCTTTGACAAAATGGCTGGCCTTGCAAGATTGAGAACGGATGGTACTGCAAATTAGTTGTACAGACCAACGAGCCTAGCTCAGTTGGTACACCCACGAGCTGTTGACATACAGACCCAAGTTCGAATCCAGATGCAGTTGTTCAACTTGCAAGATTGAGAATGCGCACTGCGAATGAGTCCTACTCTACAGTTGGTACACCCAGTGTGTGCAGCAAGATCTACTTCTACGGGAGTTACAGGCACTCGTCACTCGGGCTCTTCGCACTGAAAAACATCATAAGAGAAGGGGAAGAAAACAGCCTGCTCAGGTTCTGAATGCCAAAACTCAGCCAGTCGAAGTAGACCTGGATGTGCAGATTATCTGTATGCTTATGTGCACATGGCCAGGAGCAATCTGACGAAAAGCCAACAGCTCTGTCCTCTCAAATATAAACGCGCTACTTTTTCTATCCTTCACCCCAAGCAAGAAAAGCATGTGCAATGCAAGCGGGCCTAGCTCAGTTAGTACACCCAATGAACTGTTGAAATACAGACCCAAGTTCGAATCCAGCTTCGACCAGTTGAACAGAATAAAATAACCCAAATCTGCTGAACTATATCAAAAGGCTGTTAAGGATTCCAACAATGATGATGCCATGAGTTCAGATTTCTCCAACCCGCAACCTCCTCTTCCCTCCCTATACCTCCTGCTCTGCATTACTTCTCCCTCCACCTCCTCTCCCCCCTCCTCCTTCCCCTACCCCAACCTCTCCGATTGACCTGCCCTCTACCTGCCATCTGTGTCGCAATGCAGATTCCTCCGCTGACATTGTCTGAACTCCTGCTCCCTTAGTGTGACCAGCATCCATACCGTCTGAGACTCTCGCTCCCCACATACAAGTATTATCCCGTCTTCCACCTCTACCGGTGCGATGCTGACCACATCCCATTACAAGTGACCCCTTCCATACAGCCTCCCCGTCTATAAGCTCACCTCCTCTTCCCTTCATTCCATCACAGAAAGCCATGTTCCGCCTGCTCCTCTTCCTCCTCCTACTCCACCCCCTTCCCAACCCTGACTTCCGCAGCCTGTGTACTTCAGAGGAACAACATACTCCCTTCTCTTCCTCCAATAAACTCATTCCCTCGCCCTTCTCCATCACAATTGCATCTCCGCCGTCCATCATGGCATCCGCTAGCCTCCTACTGCATCTTCTCTCATCATCAACCTCCTACTTCTCGTTACTCCTTGATCATCACCTTATCCCCACTGCCGCTCAATTGCAATTCCCGCCAACCGGTGCTTCAGCCTCTTCCTGATTTCTCAACACTGAGCGCACCACCTCTCATTGTATTCGATTCCAACAACGTGCTACCTCCCCTGCACCTCCTCCATCCGTACCCTGCACACTCTTCAGCTTGTGGATCCAGAGCTACAATACAGTGAATACACTCATTTTCCTCCTCTTGCTGGCTTTCTCAATTGGCTCTCAATTCCTCCCTCCCATCCCCTTCACTACTGCTGCTCCCCCTAGTGCGCCCCTCCGGCTGCCACCCCCCCTTCCATTGCAATTTCCCCATTCCTACCCCCCCTTCTACTGCAATTTCCCCATTCCCGTCCCCTCCCAGTTCTCAGCAACCCCCATCCAGCATTCCTCACCCCCATAGATTCTGTCGTGACTCTGCCCCTTCCCCCAATCCCGGTAACCACCTCCTCGTATGAATCCAGACCAATACCTTTTGCAGGCTGCATGTTAGAGAACACCAATGTATTTGTCCTACCCCTCGTCTACATCCGAACTAATACCTTCTGCAGGTTGGATATTTCAGAACGCCGATGTACTTCTCTTCATCCAACCTTAGACCTTCAATCTCCTCCTCCTGCTCCCACGTCAAGATCTGAATTACCCTTTTCCACCCCAACAACCGCTGCTCCAACCCCCACCTTCCCGTCCTCCTCCACCACACCCTGATTGCTGTGTCATCCCAGTCCCCAGACACCCCAGTCATCTCCCCTTCGGTCTCTCAACTTCAACCTCAAGCAAGGCAGACTCCTTCTCGACGTCCAAAGAACCACAGTTACTACTTCACCTCCTCCGGTCAATCTTCCTCCCCTCCCACATCCCATCTTTCGGTCCTCCATGACAGCCATATCCACATCTCCATCCCATCCCAGTTCCAACTCACCATCAACCCTTCACACCCTCGGCACTACATCACAGTTCAGATGCACCACAGCCTCTCTCCTCCTCTTCCTTCTCCTCGTTGTCCTCCAAAACGCTACTCCTTCCCCACTTCCACCTCTGCCAAGCACCTTATCTTCCTCCCAATCCTTCCGCCGGGTCAGATAATGCGCTGCACGGGTTGGTTGCGTGCCCCGCTTCGCATGATCACCAAATTAAATAGGCCGCGAAGCGACCGTAACAGTCAACATTGCGCCCGTCCATTTACATTTCATTTAACTTGGACTCATTCATCCGGCATGGCGGGTTCTGTTTAAATTTACAGAGGCACGAACTCTCCCTTCTCCCTGCCTCCCCCCCTCCCTCCCTCCCTCCCTCCATCCTCCGCTAGCAAATATTCCTCTCGCTCTCCATTTCTCTTTTCCCTCTCCCTGGCTCCTCTTCAACCCTGCGTTTGCCCTTATCAGACAACATCCTTTCCCCTCTTCTACGCCATCGTCATGAACGTCGTGATCCTCTTACCTCCTTCGATCTTCAGTGTAACAATCACCAAAGACCGACATCTACTAGAAGACCAGCTATGTCGGCTACACTCAGTATGCACTCACATGACAACGGTGAAGAACCCCTGGATTAGCGACCTGGCCGCGGAGTAAAAGCACCAGGTGAACATGCAAAAGGCGCATAATGTGGCACTGAGGCAAATAGTTGATAAACACACGGAAGGGAGAGGGCGAGAGGTAGGACCGAGGACTACGGACAGGGGAAGATGGACAGAGGGAGGGAGAGAAAGAGAGAGGATAATGTCTATTGGACGTAGTCAGAGGACGACGAGAAGGAAGATAGGAAGTTAGGTCAAGGCCTACAGCCTGAAGTCATAGGGCAGGTACGCAGGGCACAAGGAAGGAGTATGCCTAAGGGATTGGCTCAGAAGCAAGGAGACAGAGAAACAAAGGCCTGCAGGGTTGGGGTGTGAAGTAGGGAGGGACGGTAGAGGAGGCCAGAGACGTGTCCAGAGGACTAGCACAAAGCGCAGGGCAGTTGAACGGGAGCGAAGTGCTAATGTAAAGGCTGACAGTGAGGCACACGGAACCGGCTAAGGGAAGGAAAGACGATGTAGAGATGCCTAGATGCTATAAGGATTGGGCTGATAAACATAAGCCTCCCACGGGTCATAAGAATGATGGCGGCCAGCCACGCAAAAGATTGCAACGACATCAAAGTCCAATCATTCCCAGAGCAAACGTTCGGGCAATGACGACGAGTGCTTGCAAATCCCAGCAACTTCTAGAAGTAATGAGGATAGCAGATTGTCAGCAGTGAAAAAAAAAAGTTTCAGCCGTGGGTGCTGAGGGGAATATTCCATTGTTTGTGGAAGCCCCTGCGTCAGATGCTTCAGGTCTCTTCAATTTCTTACTCTTATGCAGGTTGTGCCTCTAGGAGAATTTTCAAGGCAAAGGAATGCACGCTCTAGTGACCTACATCATGACGATCTGATGATTATGATATAAGGGCATACCCACACCCGGTCTTTCTGGAACGCACGTGACCACAATTGTGACCAGATTCTGTGGGAAAAGTACAAGTGTGACTATGGCCTAAGTAAACAATTCGTAGCATATTGACAACGTCCGACCTCGGGATTGCAAAGCTTTCCCAAGAGATGTGTTGTATTTACATTCCCCTTTCTTTAGAAAGCTCCGCCAAAATGTCAGACGAAGGATAGACTACCAGGTCACCCACCCACGCACCCCCGGGCAGGGGGTGGGGTTAGTGCCTTAATGGTTTGCCTGATGTTGAATTTGCCTAAAATCAAGACGTCTAAATCAATATTTGTAGTTCGGAGATTTCATTTGCCGAGGATCATATAGCAAAATAGGCACATTTGACAATCCACCTCTCTCTCTCTCTCTCTCTCTCTCTCTCTCTCTCTCTCTCTCTCTCTCTCCCCGTGTTTCACGTCAAGCTTATCCACATATAATGAAAGACAAATCAAAGGACATGGACCCTAACTCTCTCTCTCTCTCTCTCTCTCCCTCTCTCTCTCTCTCCCTCCCTCCCCCCGGTGCTTCACGTCGAGCTTATCCACATGATGAAAGACAAATCAAAGGACATGGACCCAAGAACTACCTAGTGTGCGCCAAAGAGTTACGGATCAGAGGACTCGCATCAAGAAGAGACACTATTGGCTTCAATAAAAAAAGAAGAGGGAGACACCATTGGCAGACTTCGTTACTTTTCGTTGATTGCCGTGTACGAGTCACGAATGCTGAAGTGTAACTCCAGATTCTAAAACCGGGAAAGAAAGGGTGGAGAGAGAGGGGAGGGGGGGGAGGAAGGGAGGGGGGGGGAGAGAGAGGTAGAGAGGTAGACACATAGCTCTCTCCGCACTGCATGAACGAGCGAGGTGCATGCAAGGTAATCGAGACGTGCGGGCGACAAGACAACATCAAAGAAGCTAATAGGGACATTACGTGATACCCCTGTGTTGTAGGCGCATCAAAGAAGCCAAGTTTCCAGGGGAATTTGACAAATTCTCCCTAACACCAAAATACATAAATCGAATAAAATAGCTAACCATTCAGTGGCGGTGACGACAAACGTGAACATTGTAGGGTGTTTAAATGCCATCCTCCAATCCATTGCATTCACGAGACTGCTCTCGCATTTGTCCCTTTTCCATTCAAGTGGTTGTCATCTCACAGACGTCGTCATCCTCCTTCACCTCCTCCTCATCTCCCTCCTGTACCTCATCCTCCTTAACAATTAGTCTTGACGCCATCACGATGGGTACCCCCTCCCCTCCACCGCGCGGCATTTCCATTCACATTTCAATTACCTAACGACACGCGAGGTGCATAACTCCGGCATTCTCTTTCGCCAGCCAATTGTGCAGAAACCCCCCTTCCAAACCTGCACCTCTCCAACCCCCCTTCCAAACCCGCACCCTCCCAACCCCCCTTCCAAACCTGCCCCCTTCCAACCCCACTTCTAAACCTGACTCCGACATTCTCTTTCGCGAGCCAATTGTGCAGAAACCCCCTTCCAAACCTGCACCCTTCCAAACCCCTTTCCAAACCAGCACCCTCCCAACCCCCCTTCCAGACCTGCACCCTTCCAGCCCGCACCCTCCCAAACCCCCTTCCGAACCTGCACTTCGAAACCCCCTTTCAACCCCCCTTCCAAACCTGACTCCGACATTCTCTTTTGCCAGCCAATTGTGCAGAAACCCCCCTTCCAAACCTGCACCCTTCCAAACCCCCTTTCCAAGCCTGCACCCTCCCAAGACCCCTTCCAAAACTGCACCCTTCCCCAACGAGCAGCTGCGTTGACGGCATCACCATCGTCATCACCTTGCCTTTCATCTGAATCCTCTCCTCTTCTCTACCGCATCGGCGTTCAATTACCTTGGCTAGCACCGAGAATTGCGCATTTAATGTGTTCAAGAGGTTACCTAGCAAGCACCGAAAGTTGCCCGTTCAAGGTGTCGAAGAGAATTTTCTTCCCCCGCTAATCATCAGAACAGCAGATACTGCACTTCGTCTTCGACAAAAGGTCGAGAGAAAGGTATGCCCAAGACATATTTGCACTCAAACACAAAGGGCAATGTTGGGGGAAGCTGCAGAATCGTTTAAGCTCACCTCCCACGAGTTATGGCAAAATAAATAGGGGGACTTCAAACTTTTGCGTGATCCTCTCAAAATTGGAAAACGCCCAATTTTCGAATAATCTTAGCAGACTGCATGTTTCGTTTTTCTAGCTGAAACGACCGATGGAATCTTGAACAACCATTTGCGCAGGACTGTAGATCACCCCTCACCCCACCTGAATGCTCTTCGCCAGATTGCTATCGTTCATTGCCTGCTGCTGATCTTCGCGTACCCTCCGTATGTCTTGCGAAACTTTTATGCAAGCTTTTTCTGTAAAGCACAACAACAAACGTCTTAGCCCTCTCTCTCTCTCTCTCTCTCTCTCTCTCTCTCTGTGTTCCTGCATTCTCCGGCTCCTAGTGATGAACCATCCATCGACTGCAACAGCGAATATATACTGTATTATCACTCAAATAGGACTACTTAGTGCACAAAAATCAGCCCAAAACCATCAAGCGAACTACTTGTGCATAAATCCGCAAATGAGGAGCGAGGACGATGGACCAGAAAGGAAGCCTTGTGAATGCACACTAGGGTCATCCGTGAATCAGAGCGGGGCCCACACGTGATCCGACATTATACCGATGATGCGCGGCGATCGCCGAGATTGTAGACTTTGAGAGTCGCGGTCGATCACCGAAGCATAAATATACGCACGACGACATCTCTCAAGTTTCGCTCGTTCCTCCCCCCCCCCCTTCCTCTCACCCTTCCCCCTTCTCTTCCCCTGTCCCGCCCGCCTTCCGCCCAAGATTCACACTTGTGATCTTCGTCGAGTTGTTTGCCTTCCCTCGACCACCACCTTTCGGTTAGGGACGACTTTCGTACGTTACCATTGGCTTAGAGGTGGCTGACGACACTCCAGCTCGGCGACCATTCCCAACTGCCACCCCGCCCCCTCTGATACTATGCAACAAAGGAAACCACTGCCATGGGACAATTAATCAGCCCATCAAAGCACACGATTAAAGTCATCAGTCAATCGAATCAAGACATACGACCATTAATTAGCCACATGGCCCGGGTGCAGAATGTTCGCGGGGAAACCAACTTTTTTCTACTCCACAAAAAAAACTTACCGGCACCCTAGCCCAGGGGCTACAAGAACAAGCAACACACATCCAGCACAGAGACAGTAAACATGGGTACGAGCAGACAAAAAAAAAAAACAGCTGTTCAAAGATGGAGAGATGCAATACATGAGCGAAAGAGAGAAAAACGGATAGATAGGCAACCCTGCGGGTAAAGAAAATACAAGAACCCAAAGAGCGCAAAGAGAGAGAGAGAGAGAGAGAGAGAGAGAGAGAAATAGGTAGATGACAGAATGTAGAGAGATACAGTGGCATACACACACAAAAAGAGCGAGAGAGAGACATGAGTAGATAGACATTGTCGTAGACCCGTTCCGGGAGGCATACGAAAAAAGACAAGAGTCCACGAGAGAGGGCGAGAGAGAGAGAGAGAGAGAGAGAGTCTCACCTGCCTCGGCGGGAAGATTTGGCGCGGAAGACGACGACGACGGCAGATCCGATGGTTCTGCTCTTGCATCCAAGGTTCCCACCTCTGCCTCTTCCTGTTCCACTTCTCCCGCCGCCCGGTCATCTCCCATCGACGTCGTTTCCTCAGGTGCCCTTGGATTCTCAATGGCCGCTGCCGCCCTCGCTGCCGCTGACGATAGACGGCGACGGCGACCTACCACACGGCCCCGAGCAAGCGCGGGAATGACGAAATCTGTGGCGAGCGAGACCACGGCGACGAAGAAAATCGACTGAAGAAGCAAGCGCCGGACATCAGTACCCTGAGCGGCTGCTTGAGCCACTCGCACCACCTCCGCCATGTCGCGAGATCCGCCCTTCCAATACGACAAAGCCGCCGCTGCTCCCGCTCCCGCCGCGACCACAGCCACGATGTCCCGCATTACGCCCATCGTACCCACCACTCAATCAACTAATCAATCACTCCTCCAACAACCGGTCAGCAAAACTGCCCTCTCGACTTCACGAGCTAGAGATAGAAAGGCAATAATAAATCAACCTAATACAATCTCGGGAAGAAACCCTAATCAAGAAACAACCTGACACGACCTAATACCGGTCGTAGCACTGGTCCACAACGACCGGCCGAAGAAAACGCGTTTCAACTCAACAGCCTCCCGGTGGGTGTTCGAGATTCGTGGTTATGTACAATGTATATTTGCCTTCCAAAAGTCCGAGCAATCCATTTGGAAATGCTGATAAACACCCACAGCAATGCCCTACACCGAGATCTGCAATCTCCAAAACGCGCACACCAGTCGAAGACCAAGAGGATTCTACCAGGCAGAGTATCGGAATAAGACCAACAAATTTCTCGGAAGAATGATAACGCTGATACACGAAGAAAAAAATGAGGTGAACTCCGGCCCTCCGTAATCAGTATAGCCTAATCAACTCCCATTAGTAAGATCAAAGCCCACCAAAAAATGTCACTAATCTAGTCCCGTGCATGTCCTGATTTATCAGACAACCACCTGGCTGTTCGACACAATACAAGTCGTCACATTGTTCCAGACCTGAGAGAGTTCTCTCCAAGTGAAGCAATCCGACCTCGATTTCTCCATACTTTTACCCCCTCCAATCAAAATACAGACAGGATACCCATTCCTCCCAACTCTTTCTTGTGCTGGGGTCCCAAAGACGTCCACTGCCAGAGACCCCCCCCCTCACTCTCTCTCTCTCTCTCCCCAGTGGATGTTTCTATCACTCGCCGCTCGGCAGTTCCTCTCGCTTTGAGGCCCAATCAAATCAATCACGCAAACGAAGACGGCACAGCGCTGCTAGATTACGAACCTCTCACCCGCGAAACGGCGGAACTGCTCCCCATGGATCCGTTCGAAGCATTGATTGTGCCCAAGAGCACCTGTGCCACTCGGCTGTAGGTACTTTCTCCAGCCGTCGCGCAGGTTAATCGTGCACACTTGCGACCGAGGGCCTCGATCCGCCTTCCCGCTTTCACTGGGCGATTGATGCCCATCTCTGCTCCTCAGAGCCTCCTGGATTTGCCGGCCTGCTTTTTCTTTTCCCTTCGAGTAGGACTGACCGGCCCAGGTAAATTCAAGAAGTTACGTTCATCTGATCCATCTGCATTCGAACTCGGGTTTATATTATTTCAGCAGTTCAGTGGTATATCAGCTGAACGAGGCCCATCGGTTCCGTGCCCGCTTACCCTCCTCTACCTTCTTCCCCCGAATACAACGTACGGTCATCATAGCTGTATTGTCTACCGCGTGGGCGCGGGGAACGCAGCCCTAAGGTAGCCAAATCAATGAGACTAAGAGCTAACACAAGAGAGAGAGAGAGAGGGAGAGAGAGAGAGAGAGTTTTGTTCCATTTATGGTTATGAGTGTGAGAGAGAGAAA